TATTTAGTTTAGTTATTTAGTTTAGTTTAGTTTATTTATTTAGTTTAGTTTATTTATTTAGTTTAGTTTAGTTTAGGAGCAGGTTGACTTATTTTTAACGATCCGTCTCTCACACATCCTCCTCAACAAGTTCCTGAAGGTCCTGCAGGTCTAGAAGAAACTCAGGTCAAAGTGGACTGACACCGAGCTGAACCAGTACCAGCGATGCTGCACCTCAGAGTCGGTCCACTTCTGTTCATCTGCAGCTTCCAGAACCTGCAGATCCATTACAGCAGCTTTCAGAACCACAGGCTGCAGGACTGTTCTGGTTCTGGTGGTTCTGTTTGGTTCCAGGTTTTTTTCTTTTCCATTTACCTTTATTTATCCAGGTAGACTCATTGAGCCACAAGAACTCATTTTCAAGAGAGACCTGATTTAGGGAGCAGATGGGGTTAAGGGCCTTGCTCAAGGGCCCAGGGTGGGGCAAATGAGGGTGGGGGCAGGTGTGGGAGATTCCCAACCCACATTTTTGATGTTGTCGGTACTGGGGCTTGAACCCGCGATCTTCCGATCACAGGCCCACCTTCTCTAACCTCTGCTCCACCACTCTGCAGTTGGACTCTGTCAGATCCAGCAGACTGGATCTCATCGACGGAGACAGAACTGAAGGACGTCTTTTGTAGGTTTCTGGGCTGCAGCCTCGAACGACAGAAGGTTCTGGGTCCTGAGTCCAGGACCCAAGCTAAAAGATAAAGCTAAAAGGAGAGCACTAGCTAAAACTTAAGAGAACAGTAGCTAAAAGTAGAACACTAGCTAAAGCTATAAGGAGAACACTAGCTAAACTAAAAGGAGACCACTAGCTAAAAGTTAAAAACATTAGCAAAACAGAGCCAGTAGCCGAAGCAGATTTCAAAGGGAATAAAGTTTTTACAGGAACTGATGAAATCCAAAAGTCTTCAGATAAAATTTTAAAAATCCTTTAAAAATATAAAACTAAATATAAAATGTAAAAAACATAAGTCGAAGCATCCATCAGCTGAACGAGCCGAACATTTTAATACGTGACAGAAGAGGTTAGATTAAAAAAGATGTAGAGCAACATTAAAAACCTGCAGCTGGCTCAGCGTTCAGGACCAGATCAGGACTTCAGTGAATCCAGAACCTCATCGGGTTCTGGTTTTTACCGTCTTCATATTTCGAAACGTTTGTTTTTCAGTGAAATCAGAAACGAGACGACAGTTTTGAGTTCAGGAAGTTTTTTTTACTGACAGACACGATTTACAGGAACGACCACCGACAGAACAGAACGACACAAACGGCTCCGGAGGATCCTCAAACGCATCGGGAAAGTTCCTCAAACGCATCGAGAAAGTTCCTCAAACGCATCGGGAAAGTTCCTCAAACGCATCGGGAAAGTTCCTCAAACGCATCGGGAAAGTTCCTCAAACGCATCGGGAAAGTTCCTCAAACGCATCGGGAAAGTTCCTCAAACGCATCGGGAAAGTTCCTCAAACGCATCGGGAATGTTCCTCAAACGCATCGGGAATGTTCCTCAAACGCATCGGGAAAGTTCCTCAAACGCATCGGGAAAGTTCCTCAAACGCATCGGGAATGTTCCTCAAACGCATCGGGAAAGTTCCTCAAACGCATCGGGAAAGTTCCTCAAACGCATCGGGAAAGTTCCTCAAACGCATCGGGAATGTTCCTCAAACGCATCGGGAATGTTCCTCAAACGCATCGGGAAAGTTCCTCAAACGCATCGGGAATGTTCCTCAAACGCATCGGGAATGTTCCTCAAACGCATCGGGAATGTTCCTCAAACGCATCGGGAGTGTTCCTCAAACGCATCGGGAAAGTTCTGAGTCCAAAGCGCTTTATAAAACTATCTACAGAGAAATCTTTACAGATTATTTACAGACGCAGCTCGACGCAGCTCGAGGGCGTCAGAGCGAGGACATCTGCAGCAGCTGCTCCTTGAAATGCTGCGCACGGTGCGACAGCTCCGTGACCCGGTCCACCATCTCCTGGATGGCGGCCGTGTTCGGGTAGTTCAGGGCGGCCGTTTTGGTGGCCGCCACCACCGTCTTCAGCAGGTCGCACAGCACGTTGCTGGAGTTCATCACCCGGTTGGCCACCTCGGGGGCGGACGCCTGCCGGGACAGCGTGTCCCCGATGAAGACCAGCTTGTGGGCGCTGAGGATGACGAACTTGCTGTGCGCGACGAAGATGCGGGGGGGCTGCCCGGCTCTGATACAGCCGAAGAAGGCGTCCACGGCGCTGAGGAGCGTGACGAAGTGCTGCTCGCACTGCGTCGAGTAGAAGGTGAGCAGCTGGCGGTCCCGGGAGCACACGTGGGCGGAGGACGGGTCCGACGTGGAGGCGGTGATCCACTGCGGCACGTCGTTCTCCACGGGTTTGATCACTTCCTGTTCCAGCTTCTTGAACTGGTTGATCTGTGGAAACCAGAGCAGCAATTAAACAGAAACAAGAGTTTTCAGCAGAGATTTGTTTCTCTATAGACAGCAGGCAGAAGAGAGTCTGGAGAGGGAGAGGTACCTGTTCCTGGCCCAGCTGGACTGGGTTCTGCTTTATGACGTCTTCTTTCTCCAACAGCTCCTTCTGCTGGCGTTCAAAGTCTTCTTTACCCTGAGAGGAACAAGGAAACGGTGAAGAAAGTTCCTCGGGTTCCATCATCACGGCTTTATTTTGGTGATAAACGTGTAAAAACAGGTGATGTTCTACCTGCAGGTGCACGTAGTCGTAGTCCTCCATCCAGCTTTTGACGCACTTCTCGCTGTTGTTCATGTTGTCTTTGTCCTGGCCGGGGGGCACAGGGAAGGTCTTGGTCTGACCCCTGAAGTTATCGTTCTCTGAGGGGGGCGAGGTCAGCGGGTGGACCGGGTGCTCCTCGGGCGAACTCCCATCCGTTCGTCTGAACAGCAAATCGGCGTTGCTGCCAATGGTGGACGTCAGCTGCTTGGCGTCGTCAGGGACCGTTCTTGACACCATGACAAAGCGGTCCAGGTCGTCGCTCTTGTTGTGGTGCTGCCTGGACGAGGTCAGGGCATTCAGGGCCCAGCTGCAGTTCTCCAGAACCTGGTAGGTCTGCAGGAGAATCTGCTGCGAGTCCTCCAGGCGTCCTAGCTGACGCCGGAGCTTACTGTGCAGGCTCGTGTCTGACAGGGATGTGGCGTTCGCTGCAGCTCCTTTACCGAAGACCACAAAGTCCACAACGGCAGTCCGAACCCTGTCCAGCACTGTGCGGACGTTGTTGGCGTGGCGCTCCATGAAGGGAAACGTCCTCCAGTGCGGGGAAGCTGTCATGGAATGCAGCGCCCCGACTGTGAGCTCCAGCGCCTGCTGCAGGCGGAACAACCTCTGCAGGGCGGCATCCACGTCCAGAACAAGGCGTCCCTCAGCACCGGAGCCTGCGGAGGACGAGGAGGTGGACATGCTGCTGCGCGAGCTGCCGGTGCTGGAGATGGACAGACGGTTCACACCGTCCGTCACGTCCGCCACCGCCCGAGTGTCCTGAGCCGGGACATCGTAGATCCCGTCTCTGTCCGCTACAGAGGCGTTCAGCTGGGGGGGCTGCACGCCTCGAGGGAAGTCATAGACGTCCAGTTGAGGGTCCGGCCCGGAGTGAAGGGCAGAGGGGGGAACGTCGTAGATTCCCTCGTTGCCGTTGGGGTGTTGGCGCTGGGCGGGAGACTCAACGCTGGTGCTGGGGGGGAAATCGTAATGAGACTGGGGGCTGTGGGCAGGCTTGGTGAGGGCAGGGGGCGGGACGTCGTAGATCCCTTCCTGTTTGTGCTTGAGAGGCTGCGGGAAGTCGTAGTTTCCCTCCTGGGGGGTGGCGTTGGTCCTGCACGGCGGCACTGAGTAGACCTGTGGGTGGCAGAGAGAGGAGGGCTCATGAGACCAGGAATCAAACTGTCGGTCTGCTTTAGAGATGAAAAACGTCACACAGCTGAATTCATGCCCCTGAACCGTTGCACAAACATTTTCTGGACGTCGGTGCTCAAAAGGTGCCAGTACTCACAGATACCAGTACTCACAGATACCGGTACTCACAGATACCGGTACTCACAGCTACCGGTACTCACAGCTACCGGTACTCACAGATACCGGTACTCACAGATACTGGTACTCACAGATACCAGTACTCACAGATACCGGTACTGACAGATACCGGTACTCACAGATACTGGTACTCACGGTATTCACTGGTACTCTTTGGTACTCATGGTACTCAGTATCTGCACTTTTAAGTACCATTATCAATCAACCTTTATTTATACAGGTAAATCCCATTGAGCCTCGAGGACTCATTTACAAGAGAGACCTGATTTCAACAAAGAAAGATGACAACAATGGACAACAGCGACAACAATAAACAGTTATAAAAACTCATACTACAGTTTTTTTTTTTTTTAACAAATAGGATGGCTAAAAGGAAAAAGGTAACAAAACAAAAAACAGCTAGATTCCAAGACAAATGTAGAAAACTAAAAACAGGAACATGTCTGCATTGGACCCTGCCAGGAGTCCAACAGATTCTTAAAGACACTTAGAGAGGTCAAGGTCGAGAGCTTCAAATCTTTTTATGTTTTACGGCTACTTCTCATAAACGTATAAAATATGGTATTAAGAGATTTCCAAATCGCTGCAATCTGGAGCGGCGTGAGTAACGGGTCGGAGTGTTCTTCCAGTTCTTATAACGAGCTGACGGCTCGTTTGACTCAAAAGTCTTCTCCTTACCCCATGAGAAGACGGTGGAACGTCGTAGACCCCTTGGGTCCTGAGGTCCATTTGAGACGGTGGAACATC